AGATACGCAAGGTTTTAGATCTGTCATCTGCAACTCACGCTCTGTGGGCATGAAACTCATTTCGGTGGGTAGGGCTTCATAGGCTTGCAACGCAATCGATCCCTTCCTTGATGATCTGCGTTGCTTTTTCTTCTGGAGCTTCGGACGCGACGTGCCTAACTAGCGTGACTTTTTCGACGGGCTTAAGCACTGGCTGAATTGCATATTTCGAATCTCGCTCAAGTACCTTTTTTGGCTTGTGGGGAAAGGCTAACTTCCCTGATGTCCTGAAGCGGTGGCCTTTTGGGAGGTGCCGTGACTTTTGTGTGTGATGTAATCTTTGTTCAGCTGGCCTTTCGAAAACTTGTAGTTGTCTTTAGCACATCTTGCAATGTCATATCCGTCGTGCCAGATCAAAGGCGGTTCTTGTTCAGGGTCATCAGTGAGAAGGTCTGCTCACAAACATACGTGATCCCGAAAAGTGACGTCTGTTTCAAGGATTTCCGTACTTATTCTTGGATAGGTTTTTGTAGATCTCAAACAGCTGAGATTCGCGATGCATAGTCTTCAGCGCTGGTGAAGACTGGAGCTTGATGAGCTCCAGTTGCATCGTCAAATCAAAATCCTCCGTGGCCCCCCCCCCCAAAAAAAAAAAAAAGAAACAAAAAAAAAAAGATAGTTGAACAGGTCATAGTTTGCTTTCCTGACCCGAAGCGCCTTGAATCGTTGCTGGAACTCGGAGATAAGGTTCTCAACGTGTGGTTTGTACGTCGCAGTTACCTACTTCTGGTTTTTGCTGTTGGGATAAAGGTTTGGAGGATTGTAAAGTGCTAAATTTCCAGTTTCAAGCTGCGCTGTGAGCAAGCGCAACTTTCCTTGGAATGCGAAGATTGTGCTCACCATGGTCCGACATGACGTTGTCATTTCCTTGGAAAGCTATGTTGAGCGCCTTTAGGTGGATTGCAATATTTGTGAGGAATTCAAAATCCCGTAACCATTGCTCATCTTCCAGCTCTGATATTTGTCTCCCTTCATCGGCCAAAAAAGCAATGATGTCGTCCTTGAGAGCGACAAAACGACACACAAGGCGGATGCACTTCGATGCACTTTCAACGAAGAAGTGCCGGTTTGTTTACTCGTGATTGAATTTCCGGCCCTCCTGGTCGATTTTGCTCTTCTTTTAAAGGGCATGCACTGATATTTCAGGAGTAACAAGCTTCTTTCAACAAACGCAGGAATAAATTTGTTATTTTTCCCCTTTGCATTGTACTGACATTGTTCATGGGAATGGATGGATGGATGTTAATGGTTATACCCTTTGTAACGGGCGGCATCTTGCGCCACCTAGCCTAAGTCTAATAAGACAAACATATCACTCCTCCCGCCCTTCTAAGCCGATTTTGTCCCGGTATCTATCCCAACAGAAAGGGAGTGGGTTGATAGTCTTCATGGTGAAAGAGGGAATAGGATGTGTTGAGAGAGAGCGAGAAGGTTTCGCGTTCCGTGTACAGACACGTTGAGACGGAACCACACCATGGACAGGGACGGCTGCACACGCTGTTTTATTGTCAGCGGGATTAACGGAGAGGAAATATTTGAACTGAGAAATCGTGGTTCCTTCGCCAAAGACTGAGAAAAGTTGGTTTGAAAGGTTCACTGCTGTTTGCCAAGCGGAGCAGGCGCTCGGTGGGTTGAATGTCATAGTAAGTAACTTTCTGCGTTGAGCAGGGTCGCGGGTCGCTAGAAAAGCGCGCGCGGGCAAAATTGGAAACTTATACCAGTGCTAGAAATTCAATTTATCAAGGGCCAAATTAGATTCTGGCGATATATTTCCAATGTAATATTCTATTGACGATTTGTAGAATTCACATAACGGTATCAAATGTGGATGTGGAAAAAAATAAACCAAAGCGCAAGCTATTCATTGGTAATTGAAAACGAGAAGACGCCATTACCACTTATGTAACAATGTTCAGCAGAGGTCTGCCTTTTGAATAAAATATATCTAGTCGCTTTTCTGTTCTTATATATTGAAGGTAAGATAGAACGGCGGAATAAGATAGGGTTCCTTTTGCGTTCACCGTGTGTGACTCTTCAACTGCGCTGATCGAATTAGTTTGCTTTGTAGAGCTGTGAAAAAGGACGCAAAGTATTGAAGGAAGATTTCAAGAATAAACAACCATAATTGAAAATTGTTTATATACCAACAAAGCTAGTCAATCAGTAGAGAGGTGTTACTCTCGCCACAAAAATCGCGGTAAATTTTGATAAATTTCTAAAATATGGCGCTCAAATGAAACAAAAATGAAATGTGTTCTTACACAATGGCAACAATACAAATCAGTTATTTAAAATAATCATAAATATAAACAACACAAGCTGCACAGTAAATATTACAGAAAATTTCCACTTTGATAAAGGACCCCCCCCCCCCCCCCCCCCCCCTTCCCGAAATAACTAAAGGTATGTAAACTCGCAACAAAAGAATGTAGCCTGCATCTCTCTTCTTATGGTTGATCATAATCCTGTGATATGTGGAAAAGTGCGTTAAAAGGGCCGTCAGGTTCGTTTTTTTAAACATTTACATCTATCTAATTTCCAAATACTTGTCATAAAATAAACTACTTTAGTTTTATTTACGAAGACATATATTAATTATTGGGCGATAATAAAGTATAAGACGTTTTTAAGTAAAATGAAATTCCCATCGCTTCAATAAAGTATTACATAGGAAGTGCTGTTTTAGGACGGCAATTATTCTGAACAAAGGTAATACTAGAAAACAAAAAGTATTCCTGCAAATAACGTTACCGGCCGCGGCGGGCGTCAGGGCACCAGTATAAAGAAACTAGTAGCGTCACAAAATCAACTAAAATTGTCTAATTTTCAAACTCTTATTTTAGCTGGCACATTTTAATGAGATTTCTACCCGTCGTTCATATGTTCGTATGAGATGATACATAAAATAAAATCCTTCGAATTATTCAAAATCGAAGCTAATGGCGCGTTAACACTTGGGGATTCGTGGGCGGATCCGCAATTGTGTGTTTTGGAGCCGGGTGGCGAAATCGACTTGTGGCGGGTAGAAAATCTGGATCAGTCTAGAACCCAAATCCAGATTTTCAGCCAGTGACGAGTGGATTTCGCCAACCGCTTTAAAATCCACTTTCCGGATGGGCGGATTGCCAGTAAATCTGCACGTGTAAACGCGCCATAAGGCGACATACAGCGCGATACGCCCGAACAATATGGCCTCCGAAGGTGAACACTGGTCCGACTTCGTGAGAAGGTAAGTTTGGGCAGGATTGCACTTTTTTTGCACCTGTCTGACAACAGCACAATAAATATTTGGTAGACCTTCAGAAAAATACACTCTTTTTAATAAATTCCTTAGAAGGAAACATAACACTCTGCTAGTTAATTAAGCGATTTTCATTTTTTAGGTAAGAAGTTTCGACACAATAAGCGATGAAGTCACGATGAGAAACTCTGCGTGTTTAATCAAATTGTGAAGATAGAACTTGTTATGGGAATAATGAAAATGGCATAAGGTCACTCGTGAAAAAAAACATGAATCAGAAAAATCCGCCATTTTGTTTTCAAGCATCCTTTATTGCTTGGGAAATGCATGATATATACGGTGTGTTTTTTAAGGCTTTACAGATTTTCTATAAAGAGAAGACGTGAAAGGTACACTAATGCGTTCTGGGAAGGTGAGTTAATTATACGGTCAGAATGGCACAATATAGGAATATTATAGTTTCTGATAAATCAGTTAACTAATATTTGCCAATTAACAAACTTTTGCATATAAATTATGGTTCTAATCAGAAACTTGCTGAGGGTCATCGAAAGCTACTATATAATTAAATTTTACAAAGATTCGTTTTGCGTGGAAAGCGCGGTGGTTTGCTGAAGTCACCAGTCGTGTAGCAATCGCCAGGGCTAGTGGTGCGTAAACGCGCCTGAGCAGTTTTTCCGTCTTTTACCGTCGTGTTTTTGCCCTGCCAGCATCGCGCATTTTGAACCAGTAATTACTTCAGCGCACCACCTTGCTTGCCACGCGCCCCAAACCTTTCTTAAAATTCCTTATTTAGTGGTTTTGGAGGATGCTCAAAAAGTTTCTAATTGAAACCTTGTATTTATTCTCACTATTTAAAAATATAATAAACAAGATATAGTTACTTTTTTTACTTGCCGTGTCGCTGAGCCCCTTATGCCTCCCTGGTCATATAACTCAACTGCACAGACCGCTTCAGAGTTGCTTTCACAACTCCCCAAAAACAAATATTTAAAGCAAAAAAAAAAAAAAGTATCGGTCCGATGTTGATTATTTGAACCAATTTGTGAGGCGAAATCAAATGTATTAGTGAACTTTAAAGCGCTGAATTTTTTTAAAACAAAACCCTCAACACTTAAAATATTATATGCCGTCATTTTACCATTAAATATATGGAGCGAGTTGACGTCACTTAACGCCATGGTGAAACGTGACTCCACGATTTGACATGTTGACGTCACGTCAATAATAATTGGGGTTGTGTGAATATTTATTCAGCGTGTAGTTGGTCAGCCATTTCAAAGTTGCGACGAGTTACTCGCTGCAGATGAGCAATTTAGCCAGTGCAGTACAGCCGCTAGCCTGGGGTCTTTAACGTGCATCATGCAGTAGTGATACACGACCGCTTGCCGGTACGATGCTCATCCATATCGAAACGGGCTGACGTCACGTCTGGCGCTACGTCGCGTGACGTTAGGTCATGTTGCGTCAATTTGTCCGTATATTTAACTAGGAAGTAAATAAAGAATAGGTTCATCACTGGTCAAAACGAGTTATTAATGTCTTTGGAACAAGTTTGAACGATCGCTGCTTAAATACTGATATCCGTGTGTTACACAATATTGCATATAAGGGTCGCCTCCCCATTTTTTAAAATTTTGCTGCTCTTCTGGAACGTCTAAAAGAATCTCGCATGCTTTTGTAATGGAAGATATTTTTGTTAGAAAAGAGGTACGATTACCTGAAGATTGACATAGCTTATGAACGTCTTTACTTCCTTTTCAGTCCCCTTGACGGTGTGGTCTATCAGATACAATATTGTGATACTGGGCGCTTCTGAAACATTTCGGATATGTCAGGTACCTTTAAATGTTGGATATTGTTAGCAAGCAAAATTAGGAAAACCATAAGAGACATAGAAGCACAAAAAGGCCTTGACAAAGATTCATACAATTAAACTTGCAGTGGTCCTGAAAAGAAAGCGAAATCACCTAAAAAAACAAAAAACTTAGGGGTAACCTGCTGCGGCTTTTTACCTCGTGAATTTGGTTATTGCACGGAAACTGGGAACATATAGCATAAACCGGCTTTTGTTTTGTATAAAAACGTGATGAAACAGACGATATGCGAAGCTATACCCCGTCTCACTAAAACCGTGCAGTATACCCAAAGCTACAAGGGAGAGAGTGTATGCCAAACTGTTGACGAGGAGGGAAAGGTGTAACGGGAAAGAAGTGCTGAGATTCCCCCGTTCCTCCTTTTCCTCCTGTTGAACAGGTCGGGATACACTCTCTCCTCTGCAGCTTTGGCGGTACTGTACGGTTTTACTGAGACGGACTGTGCGCGCGGTCTATTGATGGGAGATTGCCCTGTACATGGTGAACTTAAACAAAAATAACAAAGAGCACTCAGTTAGCCAAAACGATTGAGGTCAACTATAAAACACGTATGTCTAACCTACAATCCAGACTTAAAACCCTTATACATTCCGAGTACCTAAAAACTTCTCACGTTTGTCGGGCTTTATTCCTTTATTCCCTTTTTCGCTCTCGCGTGAAGGACGAGTAGAAGGCAAGTGCGTAGAAAAACGCAAAGGTCAACTCAGCTAACTCCTGGTTAGCTCAGTTGGTAGAGCGCTCCACTGAAAATTGAGATATTCTTGTTCGATACCAGGACCAGGCGGATTTTCTCGGTCGCGCACCAGTCACCTAGCTGTGTTTGGAGATTTGTGTTTGTCCTTTGTCCCCCTTGTTCCTCTTCTCCAAGGATTATTTTCGTAATTCTTGTCCAGGTAGCTTGCACCTTTGCGTTAATTGCATTATCAACATAAACTTGAAATGCAGGCCGTTTACCCTTGTTGGTGTTAGGCTGGTGGCAGCTGATAAAACCCATTTGCTCTACTGACGTCTAGCAATTGGTTTGCTCAGTTGATAGGACGCTCCACTGGAAATGGAGAGGTCCCTGGTTCGACACCAGGATTAGGCGGAATTTTTTGGTGGAAACCAGTCACTTAGGTGTATTTGGAGATTTGTGTTTGTCCTTTGTCCTCCTTGTTTTCCTTCTCCGGGGAATATTTTCGTCATTCTTGTCCAGGTCGCTTGCACTTTTGCATCAATTGCATTATCAACAGAGGTTAGTCTCAATTTGTTCTGCGTATATTACTGGCTACTTTACATGTCTATTTCCTGATATGCTTTCTTCGATTTGAAATTTAGGCGGCGAAGGACGCGTCAAGCTGCGTATGTAGTTTTTTTCCTTGATCGCCACGTCAATTTGTGATGAAAGTAAACTCAATTAATATTCTTCGATGAAGTCTGACAGGGCAACTTGAGGATCAGATTTGAACTGATTCAGCCAGCCCGCTCCGTGCGTGTGTTTATTGATGATGTTAGTGGTGAGAAATGAAGATGATTATCTACTGTGTAGTATGTCCCGCCCCTCCCCCTTTGTAGAGGAGGGAATTTTGGAGTGTATCATTAGGTGTGGATGGATGGACTTTACGGTTTTTGTTCGGCTGACGTGAGCTCTTTCGCGGCCACGGTGAAGGAGGTCCACAGGATGGGCGACAGGATGTCTAATGTAGTTGACTGGGGATGTTTGGGATATCACCTGATATGCTCCGTGACATTTGCAAAGCAATATTTTGGAGAGGCCAACTTTTCCTTGAAGAATCCCAAGCCACACTAAGTCTTCTGATATGAAACTGATTTGTCAGTTGTAGGAGTCATATCGATGCTTTTTTGAGTATGGGAGTTGCGCTTGTGGTCAAGATGTCCAGCGTGTCAAGAGGGCCAACGCGCCAAGAGATGCAATGGTCACGTGACAGCCGAGTCAAGAGGTATGACACGTCAAGAGATCCAATATGGGTCAAGAGGTCGAACGAGTCAAGATGTCCAACACGCCAAGAGATCCAAAATGGTTCGAGAGGTCTAACGATCAAAAAGTCAAACGAGACAAAAGCTCCAACGTGTCAAGAGGTCCAACGCGTCAAGAGATCCAGTAGTCACGTGACAGCCGAGTCAAGAGGTACAAGGTGCGCACTCGCCGGACCAAATCAGCCGTATACTTTTTATCACTTGACTCCGTTCTCTGTGCGCGGGTAATGGCGGGAGTGTGATCACGGGATAAAGGTTTCACGGATGACGTAGTAGCGGTTTGGAATCCCGGAATGCCTGCTTCCTGACCTAGTTTCTTGTGTGTTGCGGCCTGCTGGGCTGCCGCGAATTTCATCCGCGACAACGTATTCGCAGTGTACCAAGGCTACCAGTGTTTGAAAAGTGCTACGCGTATATCGCCAGCAAGCGATTTCTTCAAAGAAACCCAATCAGTTCTTGTGATGAGATTCGTGTTCGGTTCGGCAAATGACAGCTTCTGCCACATCGTGTTGAATTGTCACGGACCCCTTTCTTCTCGTTTGTGTGGTTGTTTTGCAGTGCCCGTGTCGACATATACCTGGGATTACATCTTTCAAATCCGGTATTTTCATCGAAAGTGGACTACAACCTACTTCTTAGCAACAATTGAGCTTCCTTCTACCTGTATTCTTCCAAATTACCTCTAAAAGTAGGCACTGTCTATCTCCTAGTAGCCGGGAGAATAATTTCCCCGAAATTCTACCGGAGGCTGCCTGCCATAAACTGTCTAAAATTATGTCACAACTGCCGGTTAAATACTGACTTTTTATTCTCCCTGCATGTAATGTAAACACGTTTAATAGACAACCCTTTTATGGGTACCGTTTCATGGGCATGTTTGGTCGACACTAACATATCACCGACACTCATTTCGCGAATTACGCGTTGTAAGGACATTTCGTCGCGCGTGTAGCCCTGAGGCGTGTGCTCACGCCGACCCAGCCCACCCGTTCGCGCCCCTCCGTGAAGACAGCGGCGGCTCATTACAAAAATGTTAACCCACCTGTCCCATCCGTACACGCCACTTCGCGGCGACATTCTGAAGCGGCTCATGACAAAAAAAAAAAAAAAAAAAGAAGCTAATATAGAAACGCTTATATGAGCTGTCTATGGAACATCGTGTGTAAATGAAACGTCGTACGAGGAAGTGAGTGTACCTCCCAGGAGTGGCGATTGCCGGTAGAATTTTGGGGAAAAACATTTTACCGGCTGCCGGGAGAATAGACACTACTCAAGAATCATACCGGTTCTTGTTTGCTTAGCAATCTTCTCAGTTGTATAACAGCTTAGTTGCGTCTCTTCACATATCTCGGATTGCTTGCAAGTTTTTTCTTGTCTACGGAATAGGCTGTGCCTAATAAATTTCTGAGATTTGAAACTAATCCCTTTTGTCTGCTTACCTGCCTTTTTGCAATCACGTGGAAGATTACATTTTTTAGGTGTTTCCTTGATATTTTAAATAGGTTTATCAAGTTCGAAGCGTCCCAAATAAGCTTGGGATGCCCAACCTTTTTTTATATCCAGATACGAGGTCGGCGCTTTTACGTATTAAGTTGTACAGTGACAAAAACAGTTTGTTTCACGTTTCACACGATTGCGGTAATTAGAAAAATATATAGCAGCTCTAGTCCGACGGTAAAGAGAACCATAGGACGAGCTAAAGAATAACCTACAGCAGATAGCACAGAAGGCAACAGACGGCTAACGAAACCATGCGAGAAGCTATAGCCAGCTATAGCACGATTTCTAAAAAGAACCAAGGACGATCTATAAAAATTTATAGCAGACCTTACAGAGGAAAATAGGCGACTATAGAATGACGGGAAAACAGAACTATATGACGAGCTATAGGGTAAACTGGAGAAGACCATACATAGGGCAAAAGGCGGCAAAATAATTCATAGGAAAAACTATAGGCAACTGTTGAAAGATGGATAAAGAGAAGCATAGAACGATTTTAGAATAAGGTATAGCGGATCATACAAAAAGTAATAGGCGACTAAAGAAACAATAGGAAAAGCCATAAAGGGCTAAAAAAAAACGGGAGAGCGCCTTAGAGCGCACGACACTAGAGCGCCGACATTAGAGCGCGCGACACGAGGGCGCTGCGACAGTAGCGCGCTTGACACTAGAGCGCACGACAAGAGAGCGCATGACCAGTTGAGCGCGCGACACGAGAGCGCACGACTAATTCAGCGCGCGACCAGTTGAGCGCGCGACACGAGAGCGCAATTCATTTGAGTGAGCACCGAAAAATGTGTCATGTACCCGCGGCTCCACAGACAGAACAAAAGTGGGCGACTCATCGGATCGGAGCATTGGTGAAAATAAAAATAAAACGGGTAGGACTTTTTCTAACCCACTGTTTACTGGCATCGGGAGAGTAAAGGTGGCAAGGGAGTGGGCTGGGGTATATAGGTAAGGGGAATGTCTTCAGTTGGGTGGAGCAGCGAGTCTAAGATTTCTTCACGGTGCTGCGGTGCGTGCGCCTCTCGAATATACTATAAATAGTTTACTTTTTGCTATATTTGGCCTATCCTTCACAGGCATTTGGGCTCCGATCTATTTGGTGGCTATTTAGACGTCCCTCACATAATTTTAAATAGCATTGTGACGTCCATTACCGTAATGAAGAAAGCTCACCGTTAAAAGACCTATCAGCAAAAACACATCGAAGGAATGCTCAGCGCAATTTTATCGGATGCAGACCTTTCCAGCCTTTTGACGCATACAGAAAAACCTCCCCTAGCAGCACAGATGTCCTATACACATCCACAGGACATCCCTGGGACGTCGGGACATCCTGAGGATATCCGGAGGACCATGTGTGCTGCTTGGGTCCCCTGCAAATCTGTGAGATATATTTGACGATTGTTTTCTAAAATCCTCATTCGTTGACGCGTCGGGTACAGTGACTATACG